AATCAAGAGTGTAATCAGAGTGGGAATACTTTAGAAATTAATACAATGGAGACTGTACTTAGAAAAACATGTAGAATATTTGCTTACAGAAAATTTTATTAGGAGAAAAAAACTAGGCATTCAACCTACAAAGTTAATAACAAACACAACAAAAGAATGGTATAAAGCTATCCTAAGTAGAAAGGTTCAATTTAAATTAAAGTAAGTAGAGGTTATGAAAAGACCAATGAAATAGCCAAAATATTGAAAAAATAATGGTAACGAAAGAGGAACAATAGGAGAACACAAACAACATTATGAGTGAGAAATAAAACATAGTTATAGATCTTTAATAATTTATTTAGAGAATAAATATGGAGTAATCACTACACACCAAACAATATTGTGCACTCTAAAGTGTGCAACAGTAATAAAACAGACTAAATCCCTCTCTTTGTGGAACTTACAATTTGGCATGGAGAGACAGACAAAAATCCAGTAAGTAAGATGAATTGTTAAACCATATATCAGGCAGTAAGAAGTACTATGCAGAAAAATAAAGTGAGGAAAGGGGTTGCAATTCTTAGATAGGGTGGAAAGGAAACACTTTTAATTCTTGAGAATTAAAATTGAGTAAAGACCTGAAGAAAGTATGTGAGTAAAACATACACTTATCTGGGGGAGAGCATTTTATAAACATGAAACAGCTTCCTGAAGGAGTCTACCTCGTGTATTTGAGGAATGACAGAGAGTTCTAGAGTAAAAGTGAGCAGAGGATGGTGGGTAGTAGAAAATGGCATATGAAAGATTATGAAAGGTAAGGGATTTGGGAGTGGGGGTTTCAAGAGCTTAGTTTGGGACGTGTTTCTACTGAAACACCTATTGGACCTCCAAACGTAATTTCATGAGTATCCGTTTGGATATATTAGTCTGGCGTTCAGGACAGATGACTGTGCTGGAGGTGTTAATTCAGAATTCAGTAGCATATTAATGGTATTGAGATCACAAAGGGAGTGAATGTAGAGGAACGGGTTGAAAGTCCTAGTCATTCCATCAACTGGAAAGGGGTGATGAGGAGCAATCTGCAAAGGATACTGAGCAAGAGTGATCAGAGTGTTTAGAGGAAAAGCAGATGAATATGTTGCCATGGAGGTAAGTGAATTGAGTCAAATATAGCAGAAAGAACTGTCTCTTGGTTTTAGTGAACAATATAGTGATCTTGACAAAAGTGGTTTTAGTATGGTAATTGAAAAAATTCTGATAGAAAGTGGTTCAAGGGAGAATAGAAGATAAAACTAGAAAATAACGATGTAAAGACAAATTTTTCAAATAATTTCAATAAAACACAAAGAAAAATGTGGTTGTAGCTGGGGTTGATATTTGGTCAAAATAAATTTTTTAAGGTGGATAAAACATTACCATCTTTATATGTTCATGGTAAAAATAATAGAGCAGGGAAATAATAATAGAGGAGGGAGAGGAGGGAATTTTTGGATGACCTCACATAGGTAAGAGGGACTGGGATACAGGGTACACAATTAATCTATAATATCAGGATGGACAATAGAATCTATGGGCTCAGAGGCAGGTAAGTGTACAGATATGGTGGTGGGAAGATGTAGACATTCTATTTTGATTGCATTGTTTTCTCAGAGAAATAGAAATAGAAGTCAGTCTAGCAACTGAGAGTATGGATGCAGTAGAGAAACAAAATAATTAACTAAAAGAGTGGAAATGTCAAAGAACTAAGGAGATAAAGTATGCTTGCCATGTCCACTTAAGGTTTGTAAGCAGGAATTTAGTATGTAAATAATCAGCAAAATTATGTGTCTTTTTGAAGCCATATTCAACTTTGTGAGTTTCAACTCAGAGTGAGTACAGTGTTAGAAATAACCAATGTTTGGTTTAGCTAAGTGAATAAAAGAAAGTGAGAAAAAGACAATGGAATAAAAGAAAATACTTACAATAATTATCTATGGAAATTAAACTAGAAAAAATAAATGAATACATGTATTTTCTAGTAGGAGAAATGGAAACAATGCCTATGTATAGTGCTCGTGTGTGATATATAAAATAAATGTTTGCAAATCTTGAATTTATCTTCAAAATTAAATTTTTTGATGGTCAAAATCATATTTTAACTTTGTAAAGGTTTAAGAAATACTGATAATATTGTTTTTTAATAGTCTAAAAAACAACATATATCCATGAATAAATACGTATAGTTTTTTTTAGAAACTATATTCTTAATGATGGTATAATTACCATTTTTTTCTTTTTATCATATAGCAATTAATGCTACCTAAATAAAAATGAAAAGAAAACTATATAAGTAAACTGGAAGTTTGAAGAAATGCTATAATTGCACAACTGGGGAATTTTAAAGAACTAGCCTTTCTCTTTCAAAATTCACTGTGTCTGAATATGCCAGTCACTATTTATAAAACAGTTAGAAGGTCTCTCCTCTCTGCTCTTGGATGTCATTTACCAGAAGCACAGTCTGCCTCAGCACCCTAATTTATCGAATCAGCTAGACAATTTAAATGCCTCATGCAAAATGCTTCTAGTCTTAAAACATCAAGGGGGGTGGCTTTCTGTTCAGTGACCACATTCTCTCTAGATAACAGTCTACCGTGATAGTGATATTCTGAACCTAATTCATAAGGAATGTATTCTCTGAATACAACCTCCTATTTTTCCACCTCTCTCATGCCTCCATGAGAAAACTCCTTTGGAAAATTTCAATTCCTTTTTTTAAATTTTTCCTCTCTTCACATTGTCTCTCATTCTGAAAACCATGATGATTCATTTTAAATAAAAACCAGAAATATCATCATTTCTCAAATCATTTTTCTTCTGTGCTCCAATGCTGCTACAGGGTAAAATACGAAATTCTACTGTCTTACATATTAAAACATAGAGTTTACACTACAATTTAAGATCTTTAATACTGCTGAACAATTATTTTACTTGTCCCCAATGGAGTTCATCCAATGCATTTTTACGTTTAACAGTTTCATCAAATTTTCTAACACCGTTACCTATTTTTTTACTTCTAGAAAATGTTCTTCCTGTTTAAAAGAGAAATCATTGACTTGGTTTGAGTTAATTTCTAACCTTCACTCATTCATTCATTCAACATAAGGGCTTACTCTATCCTCTGAAAAGTATCAATATTTTATATTGGAGAAACGAGAATAGAATAGGGCTTCCCCCCTTGAGAGATTCTGAGACTGATAGAAAACACATATGTAAGCAATACATGTATCATGGTAAGTGCTGAGAGGAGATATGTAATACATATGCTGCCGGCACAGAATTGGACTAAATTCTGTAATTTTGACAGTGAAGACTACAAAGACAATGAATACATATTGTCATACATATTGGCAAGAGAATATTCCAAGTAAAGGTAACAACAGGTGAAGAGTTTGCAAGTGTTGAAAGGGATACTGGGTTCAAGGAAGTACAGGTAGTTATTTATGATTTAATCAGGGAATAACATTTTCAACTGATCATTTTAAAAAGTTAACGTGAGAAACATTAAAACATGGCTCAGAATGTGAAAAATTGGAATAGCAATGTCAATTTGAGGATCTTTACAATAGTTCAGGGGCTAAACGATAATGTCTAAAATGTGACAAGGACATTAAAAGGTGAAAGTAGCTAGAAATCAAGAAATTTGGGGACTCATTAGATAGGCAGATGAGGAAGAGAAATGTGTCAACATCATTGCTACTCTCTGAGAATTGGAGTCTAGAAAGGAAAGTCAATTACTGAGGGAAAGGTGTTGAGCTTTGTTTTGGTCATATTGAATTTTAGGCACATTTCAAACACTCAGAAGGAAACTTGTACCTCTAAATATAATAAAAGTCTTTCTCCTTTCACATTCTCCTCAAAAAAAAAAAAAAATCTCCAAGAAAAGAAGGACCATTTTGTCTTTGAATTCCTACCACAGCTTTCATATTATGAAAGTGTTTTATTTTATTTATTTATTTTTAGATTAAATTATTTGGAGCATCAAAGTGATGTTGAAGGAACATATATGAGCCTGAAATAATTTCAATCAATGCTAACTTGGGAAATTTACAGAGAACACCAATAGAAAAGCAAAACAGAAAACAAAGAAAATTATCAAGTAGGCATCATTCCTGGGAGTGTGACCTCACCAATTTAAAGGCTGTGTGTCATTATGAACAAGGTTGTTAAATAATTTCAAGAAGCAATAGCGAAAGTGGTTATGTAGCAGAAATCACAAAGATATTCCAAGAAATATGTAAGAAAAAATGTTCTAATGTTATACAAATGACTCACTTGTGGTTCTGAATAAAATTTAAAGTGGCAGCATAAAATATAGATTCAGCATTGGCCACTTCTCAAATAACATGCCATAGATGCTCATGAAGATGATACCTGTAGAAATCTGTGTTACCTAAAAGTCACTGTGATAAAGTTAGAATCTGATGTTGAAAATTAAAGTTTGAATGAAATGGTTTCATTATTATTTTATATAATATGTGCTTTTAAATATGTATATAAAAGTAAATTAAATATTACTAGACTTGAATATTTAACCTACAGCCTGAGAGTAGAATACATATTTAAAATTCATTTTAAGAATTTGGGAGGTTAAATTTGTATTTATCTTATCTTTCAGCATATATATTAAGTGGATCTGGAGCACCCAATAGCAATATATAGTATATATATGCCAAATAAGGATCTGAAATACATACCATGTACATTGAATTATCAGCCTTTATCTTCGAATTGCTACGAGGCAATTTTTCCTACCAGGCATGCTCAGTTAATGCAATTGGATTATTTTAAATACTTATTTCAGTGTTTTACTAGAACTCAACCTAGCCTCAATGTCAGATAATAGGTCTGGAGTCCTCAGTTCTTAGCACTTTATCACCTCTGCTCAGGGTATTATTTTGAAAGCCATCATATTTCCAGCTGCTTACTGGTATTCTGCTTGAAATTAGATGTGCCCCTTCTACATTCAAAACACAACTTACCTCTTAATGCAGGTCTGGGCAATGGCCAGAGACAGCTGCTGCTGTGCTTCATTCACAATTTAAAATTCTCCAGGTATTACAGTGGGTCGTTATGGTTGCATAAAGTGTTGTGTACAAACATCCTGCAACCACAACACGGAGTCGGCTGGCTGACACTGGCAGTAAGAGCAAAGAGACAGAAAAAAAGCAGGTCCATGAACAATATTTTAAAAGCTTCACTCAAAATCATGAAGTATGCTTAATTAAGTTCTTGTTATGTAGGACAATAAAAATTTTTATTATTTAAGATATTTTGAGTTTGATTTTCTTTTATATGCAACCCAATTCAAATGCATTAATATTTAACAGTCTACATTTTTCTTTAAATATAATCAGTCGTGGGAGAGAAGGAAAACTTCCCTTTTGCCCCCAGAATGTTTGCTGAAAGATCAATTTACAACAAAGCAGATTAATAAGAGAAAGAGATTACAATTTTATTTATAGTTCACGTAGGAAGAATCACAGAGCAATTATCCAATATCCCAATGGGGTTCAGAAGTTTGCAAACCCTCATTTTAGAGGGGAGGGAGAGATGAGGAACATAGGTGATTCTGTCTAGAGGCAATAAATGGTTACTAGAGAGGGTGAATAGATACTAGGGAGAATGAATGGGGGAAACAGATTGATTTGTACTAATAAATGATTCTCTTTGGAAATTAAATTGAGAGTCAGGTATTATTTTTAAAATGAGTTGGGTTGGGTCTAGTAGCATTCTTGATCTTCTTTCCTGTAATATATTTAGATAACAGGGAGGGGAAGAAAAGATACTTGTTCTTTTTGATGGATCCATCTGATTTTATGTAGATAGAGAAAAAACCCCTTCCATGGCCTGTTGGTCTCTAAGGACCTTTAATTTAAAATGTTCTTTATTCCAAGGAGTCATATTTTGGGGCGAAATTCCTTGAGCTCCTTCATAGTCATTTCTGCTTTCCCATTGTAAAGATATTTTCCCTGGCCTTAATTCTCCTACATTCAGCACACTTCTCAGCTGAGTTTTTATGATTATTATTATAACATCTGTTTACACTCTCTAGGAAGTAGGTGCTTGCCATGGCATCCAAGGCCTTTATAATTTAGTTCCATTTAAATTCCCAGTGACAACCCCAGACACACCCTATAACGTTATGCCCTACCCTTGGTTCCATAAGTATATTTTTTCACAACTTGTAGTTTACATATGTTAACCTCTGTGTCAGATATATATATATATATATATATATATATATTACACACTTCTCCCACAAGTAAACTTCTACTCATCTTTGAATACTCAGATCAAATTTCAATTCCACCAGGAACCTGATTTTCTCATGTAGAGAAAATTCCCCTCACCGTGTTCCCATTGCACTCTTAGATATGTCACTACTGATTATTGTCTTTTCTCTATACATGTTTACTGGATTTTAAGACCTTTGATGGCAGAGATTATATTTTACTCATCTTTGTGTTTTAGAAACCTGGCACAGTACTGGGCAGATATTCATGTGTAGCAAATGTAGAATAAATGCTAAATGGAAGAAAAAGAGAACAAATGAGGAAGGAAAGAAGGAATATAAAATAGCTTTCATGGAAAAAGTGAAATCTGAGCACAGGAGTCAGTTTTTACAAATGAGAAGTATAACCAGCACTAAACATGGATGACTCCCATCTAAGAGACGATTCATGAAATATGTTAATGTTCCTCCACTGGTAATCACAAATAGAGTTCATTATTTCATCTACTGCTTGATAACTAGTAAAAATCCATCTTACTCATCTGACAGTTATAAAAAGCAATTAGTTTTAGGTTAAAGGTCAAAGAATGAAGAAAACAAATACATTACTTTAAAAAGCCAATCTCATCAAATAACAGTGTTAACAATGAATCAGAAAGCACAAGTGTACAGACTAGCATAGGATGCTTGTGGCTTCCATTGACAGAAGGTGCTGTCTAATGCTGATTAGGAGATTTTACAGGAATCAGTCCATAAAATTATAGAGAACATTTTGTTATAGAAACTTAAAAATGCTTTTTCTAGGGTCTTAGTTATTTAGACACTTATTTTTCAATAGACTCTAAAATTATTTTCAGAAATCAATGCTCCTTTCACATTGTAGGGACTGGATATTTCTTGGAACAATTTCAAGGTTTTTAGCTTTAATCTCAGGTCCTAAAATGCTCTAGTGCAATTTTTAAAAAATCTTGGTGCTTCTAATTTGTGGGTTCTTTTAAGCATTCCAAAGGACAGCTGGATTTACTGCAACTATGAATACCCTTGCCTGACAAAGAAAACTAATACTCAAAAGATAATAATTGAAAGATCTGTTAGTAGTCTGATAGGAGTGGTTTAACCTCATATTAGTGGCTATAAGCCTATAGATGTTATTTAGTCTGGAAGAGTCTCCCTTCCAAGGAGTCAAAGCCTAGTGTGGGTGGACTTGCATAACTGAGTAATATTCAATCTCTCAAAGTCAATAACACTTGAAATTATAAAAGTAATATTCGATTAAAGTAAGTTCTTGTAAAATCAATTATGATAAAGGTCCAAAGGATATACCTCTTCCTGTAATTTCAATTTTGATAAATGGCATTATTTTCTAAAGAGTCAAGCAAGCCAAAAACAAAGTCATCCTAGACTCCTCCATTTCACATTGCCTTTACATTCTAATTATCTCTCTATTCTCTATACTCAATTCCTCTACATTTTTACTATTATTCTGCTAAATTTTTCAATTGTTTTCCTATATCCATCCTTGTTCCCTGCAAATTTATTTTCTATATGTGACTTTCAGGCATCCTCACTCCCTCATGGGTCAAAAAAAAAACACTTGATTTTCATATGCTCCACATGCTCCTCCCTCAAATTTTTCAATCTTATTAAATGGAAACTTTATTTTTCCAATGTCTCATTTAAAAAAAAAAAAAAAACTTTCTCTCCTACTATAGCAAATGCATCAGTGTGTTATATAGACTAAGCTTCTTACATGTACCCATAATCAACCATTTATTACCATCTTGTTCCACTGTTAGCTGATATCCTTGTCCAATCTGCCATTATCTCTTGCCTGGTTTATCAGAACAATAGCCCTTTAACACTTCCATCTGCCTCTGGGTTTTCTCCTCTGCAGTATATTTGCCATACAGTATCTAGAAAATTCTTTTTATTAAACATAACTCAAACCATGTCACTCTCTTCTCTAAATATTCAATAGTTTTCCACATCACTGCATGCTTAATGAAACCTAGAAAATTTATTTAAGAAATAATGACTGAAAATTCCCCAAATCTGGAGAGAGACAACAGCATCCAGGTATAGGAAGGTCAGAGATCACCAAATTCAACCTAAAGAGAAATTCCCCAAGACATCTCATAATCAAATTATCAGACATCAAAGACAAAGAATATTGAAAGCTATAACAGAATTTCAAAAATCATATTCAATGGAGCCCCAATATAGCATTTAGTGCATTTCTCAGCAGAAACCCTATGGGCCAGGAGAGAGTGGAATAATATTCAAAGTTTTTTTGTTATCTAGACCTTTAAGGATATCAGACTCCCAGCAAATCTTTCCCTGATGGAATAGGCAAAGCCTGACCTGTATTTAACAGAGATTCTCTATGGATACAAATTTCTCTTCCCTGCTCCTGCTGACCCTAAAAACAGCCTTGCAGTATTATTCCTGTTTGCCTGCAACCATCTCAAATATGTCAAAGAAATGCATTTGAGGGTTAAATATTTCTTGTTTGCTTCAGCCCTAAAAACAATCCTCCAAGGTATATAGCCCCTGTAAAACAAATGGATGCCAATTATAACCTTATGACCATAGCCTATATAAACTCTCTGCCTTCAAGATCTACTGCAAAGTGGTAGTAAACAAAATAGCATGATATTGGCATTAATAATAGACATATAGACCAATGGAGCAGAATAGACAGTCCAGAAATAAATTTACACATCTACAGACAATTGGTTTTCAAGAAAGATGCCAAGAACCCAAAATAATGATGGGGAATACGTGGATAGTGTTCAGTGGGCACAAAGTTTCAGTTGGGAAAGATGAAATAGTTCTGTACAACAAAGTGAATGCACTCAATGCCGCAGAACCTTGCATTTAAAAATGATAAAAATGATAGAATTTGTGTATCTTATACCACACACACAAAATGATTGCTTAGGGTAGTGCCCCTTGAAAAGGTACCATTTGAGCAAATATTTGACAAAGATGAGGATCTTAGCCATTTTGACACCCCCTTGAAAGGAGGCCTATGTTACTGGAGTGTATTGAAAAGCAAAGAGGTAAGTGATAAAGTCAGAGCAGTCATGGGATGAGGAGGACAGAATGAGAAATAATTTAAAGTGGAAAACTACAAATAAACATTGGATTTCACAATATTCTGGTCACTATAGTTAGTAGTTATTGGAAAAGAATAGTTTTCATGGAATGGTGAGCTGTAAACCTCTTTTCAGTGTGTATACAGGAGAATTGTAGGAAGGCATATCCTAAAATATTAAACACAAGAGTCATAAAGTTTGGAGTTAAAAAAAAAATCCTTTCCACCTAATCCAATATCTTCTCTTAAGAGAAAGAGTGAAAGATGATGTTTGTAACAGAGCAAAGAGAGTTTATAGATTTGTCTTAAGGTTTTGCAACATAGATAATTCTGTGCAATGAATATTGCACAGTCATTTTATTACTTTAACATAGAATTTTTTTAGTTAGCTTCAACAAAGCTTCTCATTTCCTTAAAGGGTCTCTGTTGACATCTTTTTTAGATCCACAGTTTGAATCTCAAAGCTTTTCTTCTTTGTGGTTGAGGATTAATGTATTAATTAAGGCCAGATTTCTACTTTATATTTTAAAGATGTAATCAAACCATTATGAGTCCTGTTTCACATTTATTAAAACTCTCCCTCCTTCTTCTTCTCAATCCTAAGTAAATTAAATGAAATGGCCTGCAAGGTTATTGCTATATGCAGACTGTATTAGAGTACAGGGTATTGGACTATAATCTACTTTCATCCCATTAGAGCTATGTCACTCTTAGTCTTCTGTTGTGATTAGACAATTAGATACAAATGGTTTTCTAATGGATTTACTAAAAGACATTAGTGGATGAAGATTTCATGATCTTAACTCTCCTTTCATCTCTCTGAAATGTAAACTTCTAATTGTTCTAAAAATCTGTATTAATTTGAGTATCCTTCGAGATCATGAGGTTTTTGGTGGTAACATTAACTGAAATTAGTAACTTTTTTCAAATTCAATTCACTGATCTCAACCACAAGATATACATTTCTGTGTGATTTATCTTATTAAATCATAGTTCTCACTGAATCACCTTCTTACTTTTAAAATAGGGTTTGCTAACTAAATATTTTCTTCATTGAATTGATTAAGGATGTAAATGTGTGTGTGTGTGGATAAAAATAGATAGCTTTATCTCTAATGCACTAATAGGACTCATTTTTTTAAAAAATCAAATTTGTCACAATGTCCTTAAACAATTTATTTTTCAAATAATTTATTTTATTTTTCCCAAGTGATAAATTTCTTGGTGAAATTACAAACTATTTCCAAATGGTTAAAGATTGCATCACAGCCTAGGGAATGGTGTCTGGAAGATGCATGAACACATAAAAACCTATTTGAAATAACTATTAATATTTTATTATATGTGTGTGTTTATGTGTATGTCAGTATATATGTATATACATATATATATCATCAAGTAATTTTACTTATATATATATATATAACTTTTCTAAATCTGTATCAGGAAATTAAGTTTGTCTCAAAAACTAGACAACTGCATGTTTAGCTGTGATAACGTAACTACTCTTTCACAAAAAACACAGCTGTAAACAAAGGGGAAATTTGGAAATAAGTATAAACATTTATGAAACAACTATTTTCACATATTGGATCTCATGCAGAGCTAAAGTCTGATTACCCGAAGACGTGGAAAAGAGAAACAAATGAAATAACTCCTACAACTTCTCTGGCTTTTTGCCCAGAGGTACTTTTTAGAAAGGGAAAGATAATTTAAAGTAGAATATTACAATCTTGCTGAGATAAAGCAACAGTCATCCGAGTTTAAGTTAATGGATGCAGGTAGAACCAGTATGGTAGGTCCTAGAAAGAAGGGATCAACTCCCTGTGGGCAAGGTAAATAAACTTCTTCTGCCTTAATTGTGAGTTGATCTTTCAGTGAACTTCAGGGGGGAAGGAGAAGTTTCCCCTTACCCCCACAATATCATAAATATATTTTTGAGAATCAGCAATAAAGAGAAATTCTTAAAGACAACCAGAGAAAAAGAAAGGATGTAGACAGAGAATAAGGATAAAAATTATAGAAACTTTTATCAGAATCTATTCTAGTCAGAAATAACGGCAGGATATCTTTAAAGTTCTGGAAAAATGCTGTAAAGCTACACTATTTTTTAAAGAAAATTTTCAGAAAGAAAAAAGAGAAGGAAAAATCAATCAATTGTCCAAGTATTTGTAAAACAAATAACAAAGCTCCCAATAAGAAATCTCAAATGCAAAATCCAAGTTCAAAGAAGAGCTTTCAAGAAAAACTAGAAGGCCAGCCATGGTGACTCATGCCTGTAATCTTAGCACTTTGGAAGACTTAGGTGGATCACTTGAAGCCAGGAGTTCAAGATCAGCCTGAGCAACATAGAGAGACTCTGTCCCTACAAAAAATAATAAAAAGAATTAGCTGGATGTGGTGGTGCATGCCTATAGACTCAGCTATGCGTCAGGCTGAGGCAGGAAGGATTGCTTCAGTCCAAGAGTTTGAGGTTGCAATGTGTTATGATGATGTCTTTCACTCTAGCCCACCCAGGCAACAGAATGAGCTGTCTCAAAAAAAAAAAAAAAAAAAAAGAAAGAAAGAAAAGAGAAATTAGTAAAATATTTTCAACTGAACAGAGGGAAAGAGAACAGAGAACAAAAACCAACATATCTAAATCTGTAGTTAGGTGAAATGATTTCCACTGGGAATGATATCTGATTCCAGCCGAGGTTAGTAGAGGCCCTGAAGATGGAGCTTGAAAGAAGACAAAAAACAAACAAACAACAACCACAAAGAAAACATATTCTCTCTCTTTCCCTTTTTTCACATACCGTTGGTCCAAATAACAGTTATTTTATTTTATTTTTTTTTTCATGCTGCCTGTCTGAAACACCTTGAGGTTTTTGTGACTCATCATGAAAAACTAGGCAGTACAGTAACATCAACTTGCAGTACTTCTTATCTTTTTCTTTTTTAACTCTTCTTTTTCCTTAATCTTTCTGTCCTGGGATTTTACTCTCTTCCCCACAAAAATTACAAAAAAGGAAAAGGAAATCAGCCTTTTTTGTTTTCTTTAGTTCTGTTTTCTAGGGAATATGTGTTAAGACACTGATAAATAGTAATATATAGTGATCAGCAATATATTATATCAGCAGTTACATTACCAGTTGACCTTTTTTTTTTTCTATGAAGTCATTTATTTGAGGTTAAAGATTTTTGGGGATTTTATATTTTTATATTCTACTGTATAATATCTGTTTTTTTTATTTCAGCATATTTGGATGGGAGAATGACCTTGTTTATGATCAAGAATTTGAAGACTTGGGAGTTGCATATGTAAAGTGTCATTTTATCCATAAAATAGTATTTAAAAAAATAATATCATCACTCCTAAATTCCTATTTTTGAGAGGCTGTGGTAGGTAGAATAATGTCCACCTCTCCCCAACCCCCACCCCAAAGTTGTGTACATCCTAATCATTGGCACCTGTAAATATTTTATATTACATAATAAAGGGTCTTTGGTAATATGATTAAGTTAGGGACCTGAGATGGAATTCTCCTGAATTACCCAGGTGGGCCTAATATGATAATAAGAGTATTTAATAGGGAAAGGGTGAGGCAGAAGAGTCAGAGTCAGAATGATAAGCATGAGAAAGACTCAGCTGAGCATTGATGGCTTTGAAAATGGAAGGGGGGCCCACGCTGAGGAACATGGGAAGCATCTAGACACTGGAAAAGCCAAGACAGGGGGAGACTAGAGCCTCAAGGAGAATCCCCCCTCCCATAACAGAACTAGATTTTAATCCAGTGATTTTCATCTTTGGATTTCTGGCCTCTAGAACTATAACATAATAAATCTATGTGGTTTTAAGCCACTAAACTTTACCTAAATTGTCTTTTGTGCATAGTCTTTGAATAAGACCTTGGAACAGGGACTTCCTGTCACATTTATTGTTCTCTATGAAGAAATAAAATTTCATGAGATCATTTACACTAGGATTTATGTGAGTAACAAAGCAGTTGCCCCTCCTCCTATGATATGGAAGTATAAAAGTTAGTGTGGGGGATATGTTGTAACAAAGGGAATGGCCTGAGGGGGGATAAAAGCAACAAAAAGATTTTCTGTCTTTTTAAATCTACCCCCACTCTTTTTGGGAACTGAAACCTGTATCCTTGTCTCAAGCAGGTGGTCAGGAGGGGCCTGGGGAATGTCTCTTGCTTTTTGTGTTGCCAGAGATAGCTCAGCCATCCCAGGCCCTGGTACCACCATCCCAGGTGGGTGGAGGCCACAGGCTTTGTCTTTGGCAGAGATGGGACAATTAAAATCATTAACAACAATAGCCTACAACTGAGGGTCCTCCCTTTAAAAGCTCTGTATTTCTGCTTATGTTCAGGAAATTTGGATTTTTTCTCTATCTTATATTTCACTTATTTTAATTATATTTAATATAGTGGTTATTACAAATGTTTTATCGTTATTCACTACTGTTATTAATTTTAGTGAAGATTTGGGAACAGGTGGGTGGGGAGATGCATTACCTCGGGTCCTCTAAATATATACACTAAGATTTGATTAGAGATTTAATTAACCTCTACATTAGACAAATTTTGACAAGAAGGATGAGAAAACAGTACAAGGAGAACAGATTTATCAGGAATTGTGAAACTGAAGCCTGCTGAAAGAAAACCTGATGCATACTGTGTACATTTAAAAAGTGAGTAACTTTGGTTGGTAAAAACAAATAGAATATCAAATATCTCCTAATAGTTGTTGGCAATAGATTTTTGTCTCTGTCAAAAAAGACTGTTATTTCTCAAATTATACCCTTTGGTATGTTATTATCACTTCTGAATTAGAATATATATCAGAGACCAACAAAATTTTTCTAATATTCTGAATCTTCTTTTTAATGAGCAAACTCCTAAAGATTTCCCTGGACACAGTGGTGCATGTGTAGAGATTTCATTGCTAGCACTCTAATGTTGCTAGCTGTTGGCAAGTGACTGAATGCCAGTGATGCATTGAGCTTTGGGGTTGTCTCCTAAATTGATGTAGCTCAGAACCATTTTTGTGAAATTCATCAATGTCCTTCATGTAGCTGTAGTTCATTAATCCTCAGTGCTCTGTGATATTCTATTATGTGAACAGACTACAATTTACCTATTTTACGGTTTATAAAAGTCGAAATGTTTTGTGTTGTCTCTTGATTGTATTTACTATGAATAATCCTTCAGTAAAACTTCTTGCACATACATCTAGTATTTACACATTTCATTTGTGCAGGATTTAGACCTAAGAGTAAAAATGCTGGATAGTAGAGTATATATATGTTTGGCAATAATAAATTCTACTAAAACATTGCATAGCCAAAGTGACAGTTTTCTCAGATACCAACAGCATATGTGAGCATAATCTGCTTCAAACTCTGACACTTTGGATTACCAGACTTTATACTCTTTTGAGATTTTTAGTGTATCTGTTGCCTACTTGGTGATATCTCATTGTGTTTTAATTTACCTTTTCGTAGTGGTTGTATTTATCTTCTTTTGTAATGTGCCTCTTCAAGTCTTTACCTGTTTTTCCTTCTTAGTTGTCTTTCTTTTCCAATTCAAAATCAGGAAAATGTGCAGGATTGTAATATTAAGTAAAATATTAGCAAACAAATTTCAGCAATCTATAAATCATTCAAAATACAATTTGCTTTATTATAAGACAATAAAGTTGATTCAAATCTTGAAAATGATTTAATGTAAGTAAATATTTTAATACATAAAGAAAGGCTTTTAATAAAATCCTGTAACTAATCATGACAGAATTATTAGTAACTTAAGAAAAGAGAATTTCTATAAATTAAAAAGATTATTTTCTTTAAATTAGGAAAAAGACAAAATTCCCACCATCATAATTGCATTCAATATTGTAGTAGACTTTTATGTGGCATAATAACACAAGGAAAAATGTATATAGGAAAGTACTTTCAAAACCATTATTTTCACATATTATTGTCTACATAAAAATATTCCAAATATATAAAAATGATTCATATTGCTATTTAATAGTTTAGAAGCATTGTGTACTATTCAAGTATTAGTTGTATCTCTGTAATGAAAGAATATACAATTTAACAGATACCATTTATATTAGCAAAAAATACATTTGCAAATAAAAATGTAACAAAAGATAGGAACTTTGTATAAAAATTCATATGTAAGACATTAAAATACTTATATATTCACAAATATATATCAATCATGCTTAATATCATATAAATGTAAATTCTCTCAAGTTGATCTACAATAAATAATTCATCTGCAATAAAAATCCCATCAGTATTTTGAAAATAACTTGACAGAAGAACAAAATGTTCACAAGCAAACGGTCAAGACACTGCTGAAGATGAAAACCATTGTGGAGGTCTTTACCTTTTTAATTATTAAGAGTTCTTTAGAAAAGTATAGTAATTAATCTGTGAGGTTTAGGAAGAGGGAGATTGACAAAGAAGCCAGCGGAACTGCAAAGACTCCAAACAAACTCACACATCCAACTAAAACCTGCTGTCTAACAGATATTGCACCGTGATCACTAGGGGGAAGCTACCTCATCAGGAAATGGCGCCGAGACAAATTGTTATCCAAGTGAAAAAATATATATTATAAAAATTCTTAACTCATAGTTTACAAAGGAACGAATTCCAAATGAGTTAAGGACTCAAATTTTAAAAATAACAACAAAGTCTGAAGTAAACTTTGGTGTATATATTTTTAACCTGGACTAGGGATGTGTTTCTTAAACAAGCCCTAACAGCACTAAACATAAATGAGGACTGACACATTCGACTATACTAACATTAAAACTTCCTCTTATTCAGAAAACCTTATAAAGAAAGGATAATACACAAATTGGGGGAAGATGTGTACAACATATACAATTGATAAAGGATTATATCAGAAGGCATAAATAATTCCTTTGAAACTGTGAGAAAAAACACACCACCTTGTAATAAAAATGATCTAAAGAAACAGTTCAAAGTGAGCATCAGTTAGATACCAATGTAGTTATGTACATTTATGACAGCATAAAAATATCAACTAAGAGTGGTAAAATAATAACAATAATATAGCAACAGAAAATAATCAATTTCAATAAATAATAGAAAAGAAAATACGTGATTTTTTTCAGTACAATATTACATAGAATTGAGAATCAATACATGAACTACATGTACACACATCAGAATGGGTGATACTGGAAAACCAAATATTAAGCAACCTAAGTAAACCAAAAGCAATGCATACTACAGAATTCCATTTATAATATGTAATCTTCAAAAATCAAAACTAAAACTATATATTTAGTTATATACCTGAGTAGGCAAATATCTTTTCGAAAAATTAAAGAATAACAGAGAACAATAACAAAATATGTTGTTACCTCTAAGGAAAGAAGGGATATGACATCTAGAGAAAATATACAAAAGTCTTTGAAGGATAGCAATATTCCATTTCTTAAACAAGATGCATTTCATGGGTGTTTATTTTACTATTTTCTTAACTGTATTATTCACCATGAAAAACTGTAAAATTACAATGAAATTAGTAAAACAAGAATAGATAATTTGAGAATGACTGAAATAATAAAAGAGAGGAGTATATTTCAAACTGATATGCTGACTGAAATTATGCTTGTTTTCATGTTTTATTTTAAAAAAATTATTTAAGAATTTATCTGTCAAACATGGTTATTTTTAACACTAAATTATATTAGAATTGTTATACCATTAACTTGTTTCTTTATTAATAACAACATCTGTCAAAATGCATCCATGTAAACAAAGATTACTCTATACATATTGATATTTCCTTAATAATATTTGGATACTTTGTGTCCAGTAAATTTGTTACTAAAGTAACAAAAGATAGACAAACATAATGTTCATTCACTAAAGATTACCTGATTATTGGTAAAAAGAAGTTGACTGTACAGGAGTAGACAAATTATGTCAGGCTATAACGCATGCTCAATCTTGCTCACTGTGTTCTCTGTGGGATGGAACCATACTATACAGGTGTGGAAGTCCTATCCCTGGAGCACATGGACCAGTAAGCAAATCTCCAATGGATCTTTTTAGCTGAGTCTGTTATCCTCAAGTTCTCAAGATTTTCTACAATAATTTTCTGTTTTTAAATCCTTTGATTAATTTTTTTCATTTTGTGATCAAATGTATTATAAATATAAGTAATACAAAAAATTATTACTCCAATAACAAGAATGAAAGAATGTAAAAGATTTGATGAACAATGGAATATGTTTTACTTTAAATATCATTTTCATATTTATTTAAAATTATCATTAATTTAAAATAATAAATGCTAATTTTGTGAGAAATTTTTTGCATCATGAATAATAAATTCAATAGTAGCTACACCATACGTGTATAAAATTCACTGTGTAAACAATAAACAACATCCTTGATTAATTCATTCTGACATCTTATCTAACAGTTTTCATTCACATACTGAAGCAAATCAGCCTCAATATTATATATGTTAAAGAAGTAATTAGTAGTCTATTGAAAATTATTAAACTTAAGTAGTCTCCACTTCAGGAAATTTCATTATTATGATGATTTTAAAACATTTCTTTCTAGATATATTGCCAACACATCATGGCCCAAAGAAAATGATTTCAGTATTTTTTCCCCAGAATATGTAACTACATCCAAGCTCACAAAAGAGCACATTAAAAAAAAAAAAAGTAGTAAAGTAGTAGACATCTTGTTAAACATCAAAATAGTTTAGGCTATAAGCAAGAAACAGTATCTTCTCTTTTCAGGTTAACTTGGTTTCAGGAAAAAGCTGAGCTGTTTCAGTACTGCTTCCCTGCCTTCTTCCTTTGGTTCCTCCTTCTTTCCAGCTCTAAATTCTGTGTTACCCTGAATTTCTTTTTTAATAGATTCTTCTCTCTCTCTCTGACTGCTCTGCTTCTCCTCGCTTCTTTCTTGCATTAGCCTCTCTAGAGAAATGATTCCAACAGCCAGCCCTGAAAATGCCTAATGGCTAAAGCAGTTTTTGTGTAAATGGCTAAAGTAGTTATATGGTTGAAGCATTTTAAATCCCATCTGTTGGGACTGAATAGATTCGTAGAACTGTAGTTTGTGGAGATAAGACTTTATTTCTAGTTTTCTATGTAAGTTTAAAGAAGAAAGTCTGTAAACTAACTCTAAAATGATGGAGATCCTTAACACTGAATTGCTATATGTTAAAATGTATTCAAGGATGTAAATCAAGAAGCAACTTTTTTAAAAAAGATTTTTCCTTAACAGTTGACTAGTTATCAAAAAAAAAAAAAAAAGCATAATATTAAAAGCCAGTTTCAGCTTAAGGATGATTCAACTGAGTTCAAAATTGAAAATGTGGAAATTATATGTGCAATTATATATGGAAGTTTCTTGTTATCTTCATTCATTAGTTTGATATTTCTTACTTTAAATATTTAATGCAAGTGATTTAAATGTTTTAGCATTTCTATAGTTGTCAAATTGGAGAACACAATTATTTTACTGGAATTCCTTAAACTTGCTTAACTTTGTTGCTGATGAAACATTATGACCATGTAATTCATGTAGGTTCTTGCCCTCAAAATTATTCACAAACTACACTGATTCAAAATGGTATTTACCCATTTATTATTTAAGAAACTTCTTATATCAAATGACTAAGTAATCTACATGGTACATCATAATGTATACATCTTACAAATTGAAACCCAAGTGATTCTGTATGTTTATATGTTGAAATGCAAAATTATATTTATTCTCTTGATTTTAATGTGCTACTACACAGGACTATTGAAGAACGTAATGTGAAAAAACTTCCAAAGTGTCTGTCTCATGTTTATTTTTCAATAAATATAAATATTGAATCTGCATTTGTTAAGAAAATGAATAGTCTATGACATCTGAGGAAAATAATAGCATTGGCATTAGGCAGCTGAAGCTCCAAAACATGTACCTAGAACATTTTTCTGCTACTTTTTAAATCCTGATTTCATTTTTAAGAGAAGGTATAGCAATTTAAAATGATTATAAGAGTAGAAGTATTAACATAAACAATGAAAGTAATCTATCCCATAAAGTCTATAAACCAACATTTTAAGGTTTTAACATTCTAAGGCTTTTGCACATTCTAAGGCTTTTAATAATCCTTTCTTCTGGTAAAAGGTCATTGAAAAATATAATGATTTAGAATACACAATTTAGTAAAATAAACAGAAAGGAAATCAAAGTGGTATAAGTCCTTCTTTATTAGTAATTACATTAAATATAAATTGGTTAAACTCCAATTAATAAGCAAAGATGGGAAGTAAGGATTAAAAAATAAAACATGATTCTACTAAATGCTATCCAGAAGAAATTCATTTTAGATCCAAAGATACAAATGGATTAAAAGTCAAAGAATGGAAAGTGATATTGCATGCAAGCAGTAACTAAAAAGAGAGAGAGAGAGAGAGAGATAGCATGGCTATACTAACATAAGATAAAGTAGATTTTAAGATGAAAACCATTACAAGAGACAGTAGAAAATATTTTATAATGTATA